AGATAGAAAAAAGTCAAAAACAAAAGTAGATAGTTCTCCTATTTCTTCTGATTCTTTTGATTCTTCTCTTCACACTTCATCTGAGTCTAAATCTGTACAATCTGACCTGCTACTTCTACATTCTAAGATCTCAGAATGTTTGGAATGTTACCCAGCCCTATTCACTACTCAGTAGTTTGTCTATAGTATCAAGCAGGGATAGCCTCAGCTGAGTTCACAGCTGAGGACATGGGTCTGTCCTTGTTGAAAGAGAGAGGTTAATGAGGAAATGTTAGTGCATATACTCACCCTCTCAGACAACAAGGCTGTGTAAGCTGTACATTCCCTTCAGAATAAGTAGTAGTTTATCCAAGAACATTCTAGGCACTAGCTCTAGGTCCCTGTCCTCTTAGCTCCCTTCTCAGGATCCTCCCAGATCTGAACAACAGCTCTAGTAGACAGTAGATGTACTAGTTTGTGTATTAATAAGGCCTTTGTGCAGGAACACCACCTCCCTACTCAACATGTTCTACTTCCAATCCTAGTATACAATGTAGACAGAACCCTGAACCAGAATAGTCAGATTACTAAGTTTGTCCAACTACAGATGACTATTCAGGATTATGAGGAAAGTATTGAGTTTAGAGTCACTAACCTTGGAAAGACAGACATCTTTATTGGATTCAAATGGCTCAAGGCTTACAACCCTACTATTGACTGGTTGGAGCAGACACTTGTGTTTGATCAGTGTCCTGAGTCTTACAACTACCTTACACTACTGTTCTGAGTGGATACAGACACTTCTAATGTTACTAACAGTTCTAATGAAGGTGACTGGTTGTTCTTCTTTGACTAGGATAGATATGTGGATACATATTCTAGTCAAGGTGGAATAGAGTCAATCTGAAGGATGTCTAAGACAGAACCAGTCTAGAACCCTCTCAGAACAACTCTACTCTAGAATGTACACAGACCCAGCCTGCCAGATTTTGTCTGAGAGTTCCCTAAAGTCTTTAGTAAAGAGGAATTTGACTAGCTTCCTAAACACTGTCCCTAGGACTATACAATTGAATTGACTAAGGGTTTCCAACCTAAGGATTACAAGGTCTACCTACTTAACAGAGACAAGTAGGAGGCACTCAATGAGTTCCTTCAGGAAAATCTTTGGAACAGCTAGATCTGACCCTCAAAGTCCCTTATGGTCTCCCCTTTCTTCTTTGTCAAAAAGAAAGATGGGAAGCTCTGCCCAGTCTAGAATTATCATTGTCTTAATAAGGGTACTATTAAAAACAAGTACCTGCTCCCTCTAATTCAGGAGCTCATTAATAAGACACATACATCCAGGGTTTTCACTAAGTTGGATGTTTGATAGGGATACAATAATATTTGGATCTAAGACAGAGATGAGTGGAAGGCTGTGTTCCAAACTAATTACAGATTGTACAAACCAACTATAATGTTCTTTAGACTAACCAACTTGCCTACAACATTCTAGTCATTCATGAATCACATCCTTACAGATCTGATTGACTCAGACCATGTTAGTGTGTATCTGGACAACATTCTAATCTTTACCCAGACAGTCAAGCACTATTACTAACTAATCTGAGTAGTTCTACAACAGCTCTAAGATAATAAACTATTCCTCTGAGAAGTAAAGTACTCTTTTGTACAGGAGTCAGTAGATTATCTAGGCTTTGTGATTGGTGGAGGAGAGGTCTGTATGAATCCAGCAAAGGTGACTACAGTTTGGAACTGGTCACAACCTCAGAACCTGAAACAGGTCCAAGCATTCCTTAGGTTTGTAAACTACTACTAATGCTTCATTTGAGGCTTTAGTACCATTGCCTGGCCCCTTCATGATCTCACTAGCAAGGATGTTCCTTAGTAATAGGATGATCAGTAGCAGTCTGTGTTTGAGTCCCTCAAGCAGGCTATTACTAGCAAGCCTGTATTAGCAGTTCTGACAGTTGTAGACAAGTTCTGAGTCAAAGCCAACTCTTCTGACTTTGCAAATAGAGTAGTACTGTCCCAGTTCATTAACAGAAAGTAGTGTCTGATAGTCATTCTGA